TGCATCCAGTTTGTTGGCATGTGTTACTTCAAATCACATAGCAACTTACAATGATATATTGTAGACATGCTTGAAGGTTTTGCTAAAGATATGATACATGCGTAGACAAAATGACCTGCCATGATGACTACATGTTCTGATGAAAAATGTTTAGTGTCAAGTAAGATACACAATTTTCCACTACGAAGCGAAGGATATTCAGCTCATCATTTAGTTCAAAAAAAGAGAAATACTTATGGAAAGGGTGCATAAAGCAAATCTTATGATACTTGACAATATTACTAATTTTAACTTTGATCTCAATCGTAAAAGTGTGTGTGGCTCTCGGATTACCTTCTTCTTCTTGGCAACTAGCAGTGAAAACCAGGATATGCTTTTCATCCTATTTTGGACTCGTCAACTGGAGGTGCCTGCATCCCGGTGAGTGATATCGTTGCCACATCTAGATAGCAAGTTATGCCCTATGATAATCTTTAATTACTCAAAGCCCATAGCGATTGAATCCGTTCATCTTTTAACTGTCATTGTCTTTCTAATTTGTCACCTTTTTACAAGAGTCAAAACCTATGACTGTTTATCTTGAACAGATATATCTGGTAATGTAGAAAACTATTAACTTTCAAGAATCACATCTAAAGTGTTACTATAACCCTAATAATAATAACCAAATAACCTCTAAAAGTCTATTAGGCACTGATAAACTATTTGATGAAGGCATTTAAACGCTTACAGGTTCACTATGGAATTTGGCTGATTAAATTGAAGCATAGCTTTATATTTCAGTGCTCTTCAAAAAAGCATTTGACTAAATAAGAAGTTGGTGGCTTTATCAGTGGTAATGTTTCTTTTCATTCAATATTTCACGCATTCATTGTGCTGGCTTTCTGCCTTATTTATGATTAAACTTTATGCTAAATCATACAGCTATCAAAACTCTAGTCAATATACATTTGGACTGTGATAGCCAAATATTTGACTAAGAAGTTAGAGAACTGTCTATTTTTTGTTTGTCGAAGAGCAAAATTGTTTTGGTCTGATAATAATAATAATAACAATATACTTGTTTTATTTCGAACTATAATTTTGTTTACAGTACAGAATTCTCAGCGTGTGATATTACAACAGTTTACTTACTGCGTAGCATTTTTTAAAACTTTAACAAAATGTTTCATTAATATAAGTGTAAAACTTGGGCACTGTGGTCGAGTGTAATTCCATTTTAGTCTGTTTATTAGAAATATCACACAGTGAGGGAACAGTAGCATTTAATAGATAACGTTTCGGACATTATCTAATGTACATATTCATTTCAGGCAACTCCACAACATCGAGACAGTTTATATATTCCTAGTTTCCTCTCCTTCTCCATGATGACAAGACTTGTAGAATTTTCCATATATCTGAGACAGGTGCAGCATCATTTCGATTGCATGTGTTTGGTGTTGATTCGATAACAAGGATTCAGTTATCAATCTCTCCCTCCACCCAAGTAAGTTAGTTTTCAACACTGTCACCCTATCCCACCCTACTGTGTGATTGTGTGTCATCACATGCAGAGCAACAGTCGAGTTTTTCTCTAGATTTCCTATCTTATTAGGATGTTGATTATGCAAAGTTTTAGTGCTGTGTTATTCCAATCGACCCAGGTTGACTGCTTTGACCTATATACTTGACCTCGCAATCATTGTTATGGATCTGGTCAACCAGATTATTTTGGTTAATTGTCTCGATAGGATCTTTTAATCTAAAAGCTTGTTTCTAAATGAGTTTGTTGGTTTGAATGCCACTTTAATCCCAGCCTTATTGAGAATTCTTCGTAATGCTTCTGAGGTGCCTTCCTTGCATGGTAAACAGCAGAGGCTTTAATTCTCTCTTAACCCTGTCGCCATTATTACCACTAGTAGTGGGATTATTATTAATAACATCTGTATTATACTACTACTACTACTACTACCACTGCTAATATTTTTCTTTCGATTTTTTATGAATTTATTGATAAATTTTGGTGGGTAATTATTGAGACGTAGGGTATTCTTGATGTATCTAATTTCTTTTCGCAGATTTTCTGATCTACTAGTAAGCTTTTTAGCTCTATCATCCAAGCATTTAACTAGGCCTACTTTAACTGAAATGTGGTGGGAGGGTTCAAAGTCTAAGTAACGATTCAAATGGGTAGGTTTCCTATAGATACTAGTCTCTAGATTTCCTTCTTGTGTTCCTTTAATCTTGCAATCCAACATTGCTAGCTCACCTTCTTCACTTTCTAAGTCACAGGTAAATTGGATTGCATTTACTACTGAATTTATGTGCAAGAACTTATTGATGTGTTCCGATTTCAGTACTGTCAACGTATCATCTACATATCGGAACCATATCTAAGGAGTAGGACTAAATGTTTGAAGGGCTACCTGTTCGCAATTATCCATAAATATGTCTACGACGATAGGGGATATTGGTGATCCCATAAATATCCCTTCAGTTTGTTCATATACTTTATTTTGAAGCTTAAAAACTGTAGATGTTAAGCACAATCGTACTCCTAGTATGATTTCCTCTATCGGCAGCTTAGTTCGCTGCGTAAGTTCTTTGTCATCTTTAAGCCCATTTCGAACTGCCTCCAGAGCTATGTCAATCGGTATGTTTGTGTAAAGGCTAATTATGTCAAAAGTAACCATTTTTCACTATCGTCTAAGTGTATGTCGTCTAACCTATGCTTTAAGTCATAAGAGTTGGTAAGTCGAGACTTTGAGTGATTTCTTATTGGACCTAACACCATTGCTAAATATTTAGACAACAATATATAATGCAGAATAACAAGATTGCTTAAATGTTTAATGACTTCAAAGTCATAATAACTGTTCTTTGTTGTAAGGTTGATTGATGAGATTATGTCTAACAATATTTTCTTGATACAATACACAAGCTAAATACGATGCTATGGTTGAATTTTTGTATGAAGTTGTATGTGCATAGATTCTAATATATTTGCTTCTTATCTTCCCAGACGACAGATATAGAGAGAAGTGCGGATGCAGAGGATGTAAAGTTCAGATGCCTACTCACCACCGCATTTATCAACACTGTTAATAGTGTACCGCTTACTCTACTAACAGCCTTTAAAATCCTATTCATTACAGCGTGGTTTTTTCCTAGGAGTCCAGGAAACAATAAACGAATACAATAAGTAAATAAAGGTATGACACAGGAATTATAGAAACGCAAGACTAGAAGTTGAGTTATGCCAAACAGTCTGAGTGTCCTTATTTAAACGGCAGGTGAAGTATTTTCTAGAAATCAGTAAGAATACTGAAACTCGTCAGAAATTGGCGGCCCATGATGGCTCACAGAAACACAAACGATATTTCGGTGTATAAAGTATCGTATAGTATGCGTTTCAGTTAGATGCAGTGAATGAATGTAGATAAATGTTATATCACTTAATACATCACTTCCCATCAACTGTCCTATGTGAAATATTATCCATATTTTGTCGCATAGTCCTTACTTTAGGGTTGTTTAAAGAGATTCTTTGAAAACACCTAAACTCTATGTTAAACTTATGAAGCTATAAAGAATAAACCTATTATTTTATGAGTCTTGTTCACAAGACAGATCTTTATTGTCATTGTATTATATTTACAAGAAACTAAAGGGTGAAACAGGAATGAAAATAACATTATCAGGAATTTCACCTAATTACTCTTGATGGTTCCATGTGGTGGTGTATCACATTTGATTTAAACGAAGAGATTACACTGAAATAAAGTGATGTGAAATTTTTCTGATGGTGGTTAGCATCGGAGTCTACGGCACATATTTTGTCTTAACTAGGACTTGTCATCTAAATGTACCTGTGTCCTAGTGGGTGATATTATTCCCAATGAGATTCGAATCACATACCTATTATCCATCAGTTCACTGAATTATGATAGCCGTTTCTTTTACAACTAGTATTGTTTATATTACTTGGTAGTATTTGTTATTCTCTATTGGCATACTGGGTGGAACTGATCGACCTGTGTTAGTATACGGGCTCCTACAAAAATGTCTCAATATTGCCTAAGTATTTATTTTTATAATTAACTTGGTTGTGGCTAGCAGTGGAATCATCGAAGCGAGTATTATTCACAAGAGGTGGCTTCCATGCATCAGTGTCCTAGTAGGTAACACCTTGGCGTTTGAAACTGTATGCATGGGATTCGAGTTTCAGTAGGAACAACACTACTCACTGGGATGTAGGTTCAACCAGTTCAAGAGTACCAAACAAGACACATTTTAGTAGACAAGGTAGACAGAAGAAATATATTTCTTCAAAATTAAATTGTAATTCAGAAGCAAGAGGAAATGGTAAGTAAATAAATTTTTGAATTTCATGCCTTAATACATTGTTCAGTACATTTTTTCCTTCGGTTTGTTATTACGCTGATGATGCAGAACCTCCAGTTTTTTCAGTCTTGTCTCTCTGAAAAATATCACTTGATTGGATAATGAAAATGAATGTCTAATGATATCTAATAGATGTTTTTGGCATATCTAACCGAATTACAAAATTACCTCTGTTCCAAATTCCTTCACTAATCGCCTACATATTGAAGTATACACTGGAACATCATCATAGGTATCCATTCTCTACTTCTGATAGACTATCTAAAGGTATACATTATCACCGTTTCAAGAAACATACTAGCTGTATAGTTTGCGGTAGCATGATAGCCAAATATTTTTCTCAAACACTTAATATCTTTATAATAGATTGAAGATATCAATGCTTTTCTGGCTCTAATCCTACGGTATCATCGAACAAGAGACCTAGTTCGTGTACTTCTGTTCATCTCTGTCACTTCAGAAGAAAAAATAAGCCAGAAGAACGTTCCAGGAGTCTTTCTATTTAAAAGTCGAACAGTAGTGTTTGTTATCAGTCAACGAATTAAATATCAGTTGTATTAACATCATTACACATAAAGTTTAGGAAATAAAGACTAATGGCAGGTTAAACATACCTTTCGAAGTGCTTTCCTCTGCTTTCTCCTTGAATAACTGTGATATCTTCTGGTCATTAATTTTGTCATTAAGGATACTTTCAGCTGTAAATTGAGTGTTTATCTGGGACAACTTGTTAGACAACAGCAGCAGTATAAAGGTATATGAGAAGACGTTTGCTATTGTCACTCTTCTATACTGTTGTGTAATGGTCATTGCTGTCTTTCAAACTGTTAAACTGGGTTAATTAATGTGTCATAATGTTGGTTATAGTCGATTAAAGTGAGCGGATTCTTACTTTCTAATATTAACAGAAAAAAAAAGTGAATAACTATCAAACAGTGTTTTGTTTACCCCCTTGAATTATTTAAATATACTTATTGTTAGTATGAAGTTAATTGGTGAGGTGTAGTGATAGGGAGTAAAAGTATTGAGGATATATTTCTTGATGTTTCCCAATCTGTATTTTTATTGGTCCATTACACTGCACAATGAACACCATTGTGACATTTAACATGTTAAATCCATTTCTACGCTTTGGTAGATCAATATTCAATGGAATATATATATATATATATATATATATATATATATATATATATATATATATATATATATATATATATATATATATATATATATATAGGATACTTTGTTGCATTGAATTAACAATATTGGAAGTGAATTTCTTCGTCAAAATGAATTTCACTATTTGTTTTTTATGTCCCTACTAATGGACAAAGTTTTATTACTGTAGAGATATCATGAATTGAAGATTACTTTTCGGCCAAATTATTTACATAGATACTTAGTTATATAAACAAACAATTTTCTTTGTATAATGCAGGATACTGGGAATCAAAATATTTTCTCTATAAAACACTGATTAACAATGATAAATATAGCTCCAGACTTCCGACCGTTTAGTTTTAACTGTAAAAGGTTACTTCTAACTGGAATTCTGTCTATATAAGTCATCCTCGCATCATTGTATGACACAAAACTGTAATTTATCATTCCTATTACTTAATTCTGCTGGACACTGTAGGGATTGAAAATCCTCAGATACAGACTGTGAATCTTCTATGTATCCGAAGATCTCTTCACAAGTGAATCATATCGACATTCTGTCTTTTTATTGGAATATCAGGTTAACTTCACGGGATTACATTTAGACTAGAGAATGGTAAGGTTTCATCAGGGCTTATTGAGTTCAAATAGTCATTGAAATATACTCATGAACACGAAGACTGATTACAAATCTTGTACGCAAACTTGTGGACTTCGTTAACCAGATTAGAGGATAATTCCATATTAGTCTGTTTATTAGAAATATCACACAGTGAGGGAACAGTAGCATTTAAAAGATAACGTTTCGGACATAATCTAATGTACATATTCATTTCAGGCAACTCCACAACATCGAGACACAGTTTATATACTCCTAGTTTCCTCTCCTTCTCTGTGATGACAAGGGTAGTAGAATCTCCCATATATCTGAGACAGGTGCAGCATCATTTCGATTGCATGTGTTTGGTGTTGATTCGATAGACAAGGATTCAGTTATCAATCTCTCCCTCTACCCAAGTAAGTTAGTTTTCAACACTGTCACCCTATCCCACCCTACTGTGTGATTGTGTGTCATCGCATGCAGAGCTACAGTCGAGTTTTTCTCTAGATTTCTTATCTTATTAGGATGTTGATTATGCAAAGTTTTAGTGCTGTGTTATTCTAATCGACCCAGGTTGACTGCTTTGACCTATGTACTTGACTTCGCAATCATTGTTATGGATCTGGTCAACCAGATTATTTTGCTTAATTGTCTCGATAGGATCTTTTAATCTAAAAAGCTTGTTTCTAAGTTAGATTAGAAGGTAGCTAAACATCTGCTAAACGTTTAGTTCGTTTGAACCGAAGTTTAGCTTAAAGAACTGAATGGTTGAAACCAATGAAATCTGTTTAGGTGACTTGGATGATACAATACTTTGGCCGTTGCAGTTGAAAGTTTCATGTTCAGATATCTTTACAAAATGTTTAAAAGTGGATTATAACTTAGAGACATTGGAGCTGAAAAAGGTTACAGTTTTTATTTCATTATATTGAAAATTGTCAATGATAATCTACTCTTCTACTTACTCATAATTGTTCTCGAATGTCAATTTGGTTTTCAGTGATAAACAAAAGGAAACTGGTTTTGAAAGCTGTTCTGATATCCCATACTTACCATATACATTGGAAGTTAATTCGGTTACAACAGTGAATCAAACTTGATCATTCTGAATGAGTTATTGAATACTATTTAAACAGAAACTTCCATTTTACCAAATGAAACTTTGAATTTGTGAGTATACAATGGTAGAAAAATTAGATGATATGGGCAGGCAGTTATCATATGAAACATCATTTGTATTCCTTACATTGGATCCCAAAGCTTTTATATTTGTAATGGAATCTAATACATGGGTTTCGACCTTTTCAGGACACATGAGGTGCACTACAGTAGGTGTTTTAATTTACATTAGGACACAAACCTTAATCTGGAAGTGGCCAGGTGTCACTGTAAGGCGCCTAAATCCTTACACAAACAAAACAATTAAGTAGAGTGAACTAGCAATGGGAACGATTGAAAAATTCGATAAAAGAGCGTCACTTTCTTTCAACAATGTTACTAAATCTCTGAATGTAGAGAAATTGGTAATAAGATGTCTTCAACTAAACTCTAAAGTTTGAAAAGTTCATGTATTTATCATGATTAGAGCTGTAGAAACTCAAATGTCTCGGGTTTGTATATGACTACGTTTCATGTTAATTAGAAGACTAGGGTTTATTTAAACCTAGAAGTATTTGCATTCAGTAGGTCGAATATCTGTGCACAACTAATAAATATCTCCGTTTGATCTGTCATTAATACTGATCTATTCATTATGAAAGTTGACTACATGAAATGGCAGTATTTATGAGAAAAAACATCTTGACCTTCTTGCGATATATGCCTACTTTGTTTCTTTCGTAGCCTAATTTACAAACCATATTAGTGATGGACAGGGGAAGACAGTGGAATTGAGAACAATGGAGATCCATAAGCTATGGCATCAGACCTATACTATACTTGTCGTACAAGAAGTGGCTATCATCACTCAGGGACCTAGTGGGTAACATTCTGACGTTCAAAACGACTGGTTCTGCGCCCCAGTCTTAGGAGGAACGAGATTACTTACTGATAGGCAGATACATTCAGCCAACAAGTTCTAAATATACACAGAAATGTATGTCTCATAAAACTAAATGATTCTATTTGAACAATTCTTTGTGAACTAATCAAACTGATGATTTCAAAAATGGTTGTTAATGTGCAGTAATTACAGTTTGTTGGATAGTTATCAATGTTAAGGGATCACCTACAACTAATGCTGTATTATGAAGTACATACTTTTATCTAAGGGTTGCAACTAGAAACCAGTATACGTGTACATTATCTTTCCGATTGCTTGAATTTCTAATTAAGTACGTTGTTTATGAAAGATGTATCTTTTAATTTGTTAAGGCATATAAAGTGCCGACACATGTTCAATGACAAACATCCAGCCAAATGCAATATATCTAGTGAAATAGCCTTCTCTGCTATATGAAGAAATGCAAGTAGGAATTACAAGAATCCTAGACATTCTATGGAAAAGACTATTTCAAAGTAAGCGCCGACCGTCGTTTATCTTAAGTATCCGTACAAGAATCATATTTTTAATATAAAGGTTGGTACAGAAATCAAAAAACCTTTTATAAAAGAAGTAATGCATTGTCAATTTATTGGCAACCAAAAGGTGAAAGAAAGAAAACGAAGTTAAGGTTTGTTGATTGGTTACTGGATGGTAACCAGTTTCAGGTCGTCTAGTCCTAAGTGGTTACTGCATTTTATAGACTATTTTGCAATATGGCTATCACACTCGGAGAATCATTGTCGTGAAACACTTTCATGTATATATATATATATATATATATATATATATATATATATATATATATATATATATTAGGTGGATGGTTGTAATAAGTAAAAAGCCAAATTGACCTTGGTTTCATGCTTGTTGGCACTAATCAACAAGATACACATGGAATCCTAACAGAACTGATTTCCCGCCTGACATTCGAATCCGCACCAACGAATACTGCAGTCAGAAACGTTACTACTGAGCTCTTCTGATAGTGATTAATTTCTATTCCCTCGAGATTGAAGATGCACCTTCTTGACGAGTGCTCAAATGCATAAAACCTAGGTCAGGTAAGTTTTCCGGCTGATTGCCTCTATCCAACTGGGAAAGTTAAAATTTTACAGCAGAAAATGAATATTTAAATGAGACTAAGTGACTCATTTTCAGACTACGTTTGATTTTTAGAAATATGTCAGTCGCTGTGGTAAATGTTCAAGAAGTTATAGTCTACAAACAGCTTCATCCCCAATAGAATACTGTACTACCACTCAGAAAAAATTAGAGAACAAATAAGAATTCCAAAATAAACTACAACAATGGTAGGGACAGAACTAGAAAGAAACATTCGATTTAAATGGCTTTTTTAAGACAAATCATCATTATCAAGATCAGCATAGGACCAGGCATTGCCGTGTAACGGTTCAGATTGCAGCACTTCCTACTAAAGTAGGAAGGAAAAATCGATCACAGGAAGTAGAAGTAGTAGTAGGAAGTAGTAAAAGAGCAGAAGAAGGAATGAGAAAATGAGATTATGTATAGTGACTGAGATGTGGATAATGTGTGTATGTATCTAGATAATTGACAGTGATTCTGAGGCGTATCACCTGGCATCTCTAACTGCCGGTTCCACTTGTCCCGCGGACCCTAACCGGCAAGTCTCCATCACCCTACATGGCTCAAACGAAAAATGTACTGACACCATGTTTAAGTCCGGCCGGCTCAAGCCTTTTTCCAGCCTGAACCTACTTCAGCCATTATTGTGTGTCGAGGTAGGCAGTGGCTAGACATACGTCACTCATGTCCTAGCCATCTCAGTCGGTGAAGGTTCACAACCACATCAATCAACTAGCCTCTCCTCCCTAAAACTCTACCTCAGACTTCTGTGTTAATCAAGTGATGACACCATGAAATATTTTTTGCAAATGCCTTACCTTTATACCATGAGTGGTGCGCTATGTCGTGATAATATGGTTTGAAATAGCATTGCGTATGCACTCTGAGGAATTAGAG